ATCAGCTTCCTTCATCACAAAACTACCTCTCCCTCTCAAATTAACACAAATACAAGACCAAGCTGAGGGCTTTAAGCTTGTTTTGGTTCTTCTTAATGGAGGCTGTGAGAAGAAAGGAGGCCTCGAGGAATAAAAATAAACAAAATAGCAAGAACAAAGCTGGGTAATCAAACGCATGTGGAAAGCATGGACCCCCACAGGACACAGGGGCAGTGAAGCAATGGGGAAAGACTGATGCTATGACCTATGGAAAAAGTTAGTGTATCAATCCAAGGGTAAATTCTTTTATCACAGAGAAATAGAATGAATTATTATGTTAATGTTTGAGTGAAATGTTTGTACCAACGGAAAGAGTCTAGTGAAAGTAAAATGTGGTGGATATATCAGACAACAGGCCGTCTTTATCTTTATGGTATATATTTTTCATACTGTTAGTAAGTCACTGTTTGATAAAATGGGCTGAGATTGGCTGATCAAAAGTGGTCCTCTCTTTGTCTCCCATCTTTGGACATAAAAGTGAAAGAATACAACAAATGTATTCAATATATCAATCATAGCTTTTTATCACCTCATAGTGCCATACATAGACATTGTTAATAATCCTATATGGACCCTACCACTTCTGACAACATTTGATTCTTTAAAAAAAAAAAAAAAGTTAGTTATGGGTAGACACCTTTCACATTAAGCAAAGAAATACTATCCGTGATATGATATTAAAACGTGAGCTTGGTTGTGCGAAGCTTGTTCAGTTCGGAGTTAATGTAACTGATTTATTTGATCCTATTCTAGTATCTGGTCTCCAACGTAAAATCATGGAAAAATATAGGTAATTTAAAGAAAGCGGCCGCTCCATATATTGGTTTAGAATCAGATATTTTTTCCACTTTCTTCCCCAGTATTGTTATAAAGCTGAATATGAGGTGATCTGTGGGGTCATGTGACAAAATGCAAGTGGCAAATGGAGAATAGGTCAATGGCTTGTTTTCTCTGGCCCAGGATTACAACAGGCACCGGGACTGGCTCCTAAATTCCTCACATTTTATTACACAAACAAAAATAGAGGAAGTAAATCTCGCCGGCCCAAACAAAAAGATCAAAGGCGCAAAAAGGCTACGCATGTTTCGCTACAGCCCACATCCTATTGTATTACTAAGACTGTTAATATGAGATATCGGAGGCTGCTCTCAGATCAACATGAGACCTGGTTTTAGAAAGTCTTTAGTCCTCTTTGTATCCCTGATTTATGCCTGCGCTAATGTGTTTTACAATGATTAGAGTTAGATGAAGTTAGACCAAGAATGTTTATTACAGCTTTAGTCCTGGTTTGGTTCCATATCTGGTGCATTAGCCCTCCTTACCAGGGTTTTTAAGTCTCACATAACCTGTCTCTGCCTTAATCCTCATTTCTAGTTCACACTTAAAGCTGGGGTACCTAACTTTTTTGTTACAGAAATAACACATGCATACACATACATACGAAAGAGCCCAGTGAGTCACAATTTGACACTTTGGGTTAAGAGCTGATTGGCTGAGTGAGGGTGGTCTTAGGGTTAGGATCCTTTTCATATTCAGAAATACAGGAAAACTAGTGAAAGAAGCTAATGGTTTTGTTCCCTGGATTTTATTATGCAGTTAAATTTGTTGTCTTTAAAGTTAGGTACCCCAGCTTTAAACTAGTCTTATTTAAGAGAAATATGTAACTATAATAATGTCTTGTACATTCTATAGTGTAGTGGTTGGCAGTTTAATACTTGGCATATTCAGGTTGCAATGCACAGACAAACTCTTTTACTGTAAATGACGCTGGTACATTGCTAGTTTTTCTAATTATAAACAAGCAAATTTATGACATAGCCATTCAGTCAGTGGCAAAACAACAAAAATACATGTTTATGATATGGTTCTGTGTATATCGAACATATGTATTCTACAAAAGGTGGCGTAAAGTCCTATTCATACCATCCAAGGTTTAAGTCCAGCTCTAGTCCAGCACTCCTCCTCTGAATGGGGGCCTCCTGTAGACCCCCATTCATAGCAGGTAACAGTTTTGCAGCCGCTGTGCTATTGTCAGTCATCCCCATTCCCCACATGTCCCAGTGACAGCCAGTTTAGAGCTTTAAATAACAGAGCAAACAGCAGCCACATATATCTGCCGCTACCACAACCCACCCCCTGTAAAAACAACACGAAATCACCTACAAAACACAGCACACATTGTACAGAAGGCATTCCCAACATCAACACAACCTCCTCAGGAAATAGGAGGTGCCCAGCTGCAGGCGGGAAGCTGTACATTAAAGAAAATTGTGTTAAAAAAATCAGGTAGATGCAGTCACTTACTATGGCAGATCGGAGGATGTGTCCAGGGGGGTGAATGAAGGGGCAGTCTGCAACAAACCAAACAAAGAAGTCATTGATAGATCCAGAGGAAGGTTCCCACAGCTAGGTGAAAAGCATTAGCTAGAGCCGGGCAGTGGCGTCTTGTCGCGTGTCTGGGGGCTAAATGCAGAGGCTAACGGGGGTCGGGGGTGTAGCTGCTCCTTCTTCAGCTCTGGGAGTGTTTTGGCGTGCATGCAAGTTGGGTAGAAAATAAGCAGGAGGAAGGTATAGGAGCAAAGAGGAGAGGAGAGAGAGAAGGGGAGGACTGGGTGGAGCCTGGGGTGAAGAAGTGGGCGGGTTTTGCGGGGGGACGGGCCAATCGCCAGGCGGCACTCCCGGGAGATGCTGTGCGATCTATTGTCTGGCGTAGCTTCGGAGGCGCTCTCATTAGCAGCAGCGGAGTGGGCTGGGGACAATCAACCAGCTGGCAGAGCGGGAAGGCCGAATTACACAGGGATACACTCTCATGCACAGAGGTTATGCAATGGCAATGTAAAGATGAGGCCACAGTGTCGGCAAATGTATACAATTGTGTAAGATCATATGAACAAAGCAGGGACAATAATAAGACATATTAGCAAATTGCAATATGTTACAAAACACATAACTTCAACTCAACTCTGAAAATGTGAATATTGTTCAAAAGTTCAATTATAATTCAACTTAAAATGTGAAACTAATTTGAAACTATATGATACAGACTCATGACATTCAACGTGACATAAGCCAGCCTCATGATTATGACATACATATAGAAGACCACTGATCCATTACTGATGAGTCTAAATATCACCCCAAAATATATTGCTTATTGTATTTGCATTAATGGGAAGATTTTAGTTGTTTCATTTGTCATGCGATCCAGTTTTGGCTGTTAAGAGTTGGAAGACTAACTTCTATGGCAACAAATAACTTAACTTAGCTGTAGCTATTTTAAATGAATGACAAATCTGGATGATGCTGCTGTGGAGTAATTTTGTCAGTTGAATAAATTGAATAAAGTGGTTTCAATATTAGCTTTTATTATTGCAATCTTTTACAGAAGCACAATGTTGTATTGTGACAAACCTAGATTTAAGTGCATTGACTTGACATGGCTTGTTTGTAATGTATTCCAATAAAAGCTGGGTTTTTATTCATATTCATAACATAACAGAAATCACTGAGATACTGTAAACTTTTAGCCAAGTAACCTCAGATTAGGTTTTAGTACTGCCCAGAGGGATCCAAGACAAAGATACAGACTTGACAGAACCATTATAGTGTTGGTAGAATGATGACATAAATGATGAAATACTTGGCTAACCCTTTTATAAATCCAAGTCAATATTGTCTGGAACAATATGGGCAGTAACAGTTGCCAAATTGACGATCATCATTTCTAACCGCTCAAACCACAATAACGCGATGGTATTCCAAAAGACATTCCAAGACATTGACACTTTGAAAATAATGGTGCGACCAGAGGCTTAAATAAAACAGTGGTAACGTCAAACGGTCCATTTGAATTCCAAGGAACCCAGGCGGCAATGTAATAATGTGGGTTGTATTTTTATATGCAAAAAAGTTTCAACAAATGAGTTAGAGCCGTTAGGGGAGAACATGCAGACCTGATATCCTGAGAATAGTACAATAAAAGCAGAAGAATCCATTACTTCTTGGCCACTCACTACCATAGCAGCTTTCTCCAGAGGGAAAATAGTAGTCGCCACATTTCATTATTTTGTATGTCATAAATCACAACAGCAGTTGTCTCACTGGATCTTACAAAGTCATTGATTTGCCAACAAGTAGTCAGAGAATCAAAGTTTGAACACAGGAAATGCCATAATAAAAACACACACAGCCATTGGTCCATAGGGAGAGGGAAGAACAATGCCCATAAAGTTATTAAATGTCTATGTTCAACGTTTCTCAAGTGGTTCACAAGGCTCCATCTTACAAGTTGTAAATCAATGTTTACAAGAAGAGAAAGTGACTCTGGGTTGGATTCTTTTCCTCAAATAACTTCTGCAACGTACATTCTAGGAGGAAAACTGAACTTTTACCATTGTTTTTCTCTTGTTGATATGGTGCAAGTCATTTCATTGATTGGCCATCTCAAACTGTACAAATGATGTGGATGCATGACAATCATCTGTGTCAACAAGTTGAAAAATAACCGTGAGATTGCATAATTGCCTTCACTGGGTGGTCAAAACATTGAAAGTCCACAGTTCATTGAACAATAGTCACACCATGCCGTTTACCATTGTCCCGTTGTTTTACATTGTGTGTGTGTGTGCCTATAGTGGGAACATTACCATAAATCATCGGGAAGCCTTAAGTCCCTATGTCCCAGGCCTATAGCCCTGTCCCAGCTGTTATTTTGGAGCAGCTCTTGTGTCCCGAACAGAAGGGATGGCCATTCGCTGAGGTAGCACCCGGTAGCACGATTTGAATGGTTTAGACTTCTGCCTAAATTTAGAGCACTGTTTCTGCAGCTCTCCTCTCCTCCCGGCGTCACGGAGGGTAAAAATAACACAGACGTTGGCACCACGAATAAAAAAGCGCAAGTGTTGTTTGCAAATAGTGTTGCACAATCCCCAGCCACGCCAGCCAGGCCGTCCCGATCGCTAATGCCTGTTGCCCTCTTTATACTTCCACAAGGGCTTGCCAAGAAAACATCCACTTCTCCCAGACCACGCGAGCCCCAGACGACCGGCATTCCCACGGCTCATCTCGCCACAGGTGAAGCCGTGGCTCCGAGTTGCCAGGGCAGGATGATCATTAATATCCAAACTCTTTCCGACGCCTTTCGTGTTGATACGGGGCTCATCAAAACAACAACGTCCTCTGCCCAACTACGCACGTCCGACACATGTGAGCCGGCTATCAGGCCTGTCATGGTGATCACTGGCCCGTTTCCACTGACCCTACTCAGCCCCAGACTCTGCCCTGGTTAGGAGGGGTAACTGGGACTGGTAAACCTGGTTCTGAACAGGCGGACCTGGTACTGAAGTGTCATAGCTGCCAGATTGGCCAGATTGCTGCTGGTAGCCCTGGTTACCACAGTATTTCCCTGGATGCTGGTTTGTTGTTAGTAGGTTGCAGGAATATGGTACCAGAAGTGTAATAGAAAGAGAGTAGGGTTGTTTTGTTAATACTTGCAAGCTAAATTTCATTAATTGTGCGGCCGATTATAGAATCTTCAGCATGTTTTGTAAGATTAATCAATTAGTTGACAACTACTTCAATGAACTTGTTAATAACTTAAAATTTATGACAGAGATGCTTCCATATGACTGGAGCCAAATATAGTTAAGATTGATTTTCAACATTATTTTCTATAGAAGCTCAAATACTATAAACTTGAATTAGATAGCGGTTTACATAGATCAGTTCATTCTTTACATTGTGGTGATGAACCTCTTCAGTAACCACATCCGCCCTGGGGTAGACTGAAAGAAGCAAGGCTGCCGATCTGCACCAACAGCCCTTCCATCTATTGCATCTGTATTACTGTATCAATGGTCTCCCATCCAAATCCTAACCAGGCCCTGACATGCTCATCTTGCAAAGGTTTAGGAGATCAATCAAATGGCTTTCTGGAATCATAAAGGGCTAGGATTGATAATACATTATTAGTTTTGCAAAGACTGAGGCCAATCAGTAAGTCATAATTTAAAAACCAGTGAAATCAACCAGATTCAACATTAGAATTATGTGGAGATAAGTTTGTATCAAAGCTTTTTTCATATTACGGAACAAAGCTAAAACAGAATACAGTACATTATTATTGAGGGGAATACCTTCATAATGTGTGCAATTACAGTAAATTTTACTGCCATACTTTTGATTTGTGTATTTTAGAATTATTTGTAAATGTATTGCTTTATTTTGAAAATCCTTGGGTAGGAACCTTTGTTTCGTTACCTGTTTTCGGTGACGCTAATTGAGTTACGCAAGTCCCATGTCAAGTGACGTGTGTGGTAAAAGTTCGCTGCTAAGAGCAAATGTGATTTGTGTTATAAGAGCGATGACAAGGTCATAACTCTGCCTCTGAAGTATGGGTCACCCAGCGAGGTATGTGTATATATGTGTTTAATATGCTTAAGTGCATTATTTGAGTGTTTTGTTTTACTAATTGTATTTTATGTTGCTTATTTTAGTTCGACGGTGGCGTCGTTGTGCTACATGTTTCATGTTACCCTTGAAATATCGTGTACAAGCTATAATAAAGAAGAGAGCCATCAGTAAAAGAACTCTTAATTGACTATATACAGAGGTTGTGTGATAGTAAATGACCAAAAAGCAGCCCAAATCTCCAGAGAAAACACATCATAACATTAGCAGCAGGAGCCACGGCAAGGCCTGCATATCAGCAATAACACTTGAAATTCTTCGCAGGGCAATTAAAGTAGCATTGCCATGATTGGAAGCTCATTATCGGGCGTTCTTGTAAACAGACGTCTTCATATAAGAGCATTGGGCTGATGTGTGTGAAGTGGGCTCTATTTTTGATCTAATGTTCCATGTCGGTGTCATTGAACTATGCAGGACTCTTTCTTGCACTGCACCCCCTCCTTCCTCTCCCACCCCCCTGATCTGGGACAGGGGACAACCGGCTGACACCCCGGGGTAATGGGCTTATACAGTCCGTCTGCTGTGGAAAGTAAACAGGAAGCACGCCTGAAGGCCTTATCGTGGACTTTGTGGAATTTAACTTGACACGTTATATATGACATTTTCTTGATTAAAATGGAGAGAAAGTAATGTGGCTCTGGTTGTTCCTCTTGCATACTTGTTGCGCTGACCCATTATATAACACTTGGAAATTCTTTTGAATGCAGTTTCACTGATGGAAGCAGAGTGTGGGTAATGTAATCATGTGAAAAGAAAATTTTATCTGATTGAAATAATATAGTTGCCATCAGTTCTCTGCTTCAACTCAATTTCAAGTCTAATGGTTTTGTTGTTCGCTGACATAGACAGGCTTTAAAGTAAAGTTACTGGTCTGACAAAGGCAACTGGATTGTATGTCATGCTAAGTTTTAAACCTTTTGGCGCCAAAGTAGCAGAATTCAGGACACTTTATACAGCGACCTGGCTTCCCACAGTCGTTTACCTATTTTTCTTCTCACATATTTCTTCACTTTTTGTCAGTTTCATATCAAATTTCGGAACAAACTTTGGGTCTATAGGGTCATGTTTTTATACAGTGCCTTGCGAAAGTATTCGGCCCCCTTGAACCTTTCAACATTTGGCCACATTTCAGGCTTCAAACATAAAGATATAAAATTTTATTTTTTTTGTCATGAATCAGCAACAAGTGGGACACAATCGTGAAGTGGAACGAAATTTATTGGATAATTTAAACTTTTTTAACAAATAAAAAACTGAAAAGTGGGACGTGCAATATTATTCGGCCCCTTTACTTTCAATGCAGCAAACTCATCCAGTTCATCCAGAGTGATCATGGGGCTCTTGGCTGCATCTCTGATCAGTCTTCTCCTTGTTTGAGATGAAAGTTTATAGGGACGGCCGGGTCTTGGTAGATTTGCAGTGGTCTGATACTCCTTCCATTTCAATATAATTGCTTGCACAGTGCTCCTTGAGATGTTTAAAGCTTGGGAAATCTTTTTGTATCCAAATCCGGCTTTAAACTTCTCCACAACAGTATCTCGGACCTGCCTGGTGTGTTCCTTTGTCTTCATGGTTCTCTCTGCGCTTTAAACAGAACCCTGAGACTATCAAAGAGCAGGTGCATTTATACGGAGACTTGATTACACACAGGTGCATTCTATTTATCATCATCAGTCATTTAGGACAACATTGGATCATTCAAAGATCCTCACAGAACTTCTGGAGTGAGTTTGCTGCACTGAAAGTAAAGGGGCCGAATAATATTGCACGCCCCACTTTTCAGTTTTTTATTTGTTAAAAAAAGTTTAAATTATCCAATTAATTTTGTTCCACTTCATGATTGTGTCCGACTTGTTGTTGATTCATGACAAAAAAATTCAAATTTTATTTCTTTATGTTTGAAGCCTGAAATGTGGCGAACTGTTGAAAGGTTCAAGGTGGCGGAATACTTTCGCAAGGCACTGCATGTATATGTAATACTCAGGACTCCCTCTCTAGCCTCTCTCTGGTCTCTCGCTCTGATTCTCTCTCTGCTGCCTCTATCGCGGCTGTCTCTCTCCCTGCTCTCTCTCTTCTCTTTCCCTGCTCTCTCTCTGTTCTCTTTGCTCTCTCTTTCTGCTGTATCCCTGCTCTCTTTCTGCTTTGCTCAATCTCTCTCTCTGCTCTCTCTCTCTCCCTGCTCTCTCTCTCGACTGTCTCTCTCTCTGGTCTCTCTCTCTTGTCTCTCTCTCTTGTCTCTCTCTCTTGTCTCTCTCTCTCTCTTGTCTCTCTCTCTTGTCTCTCTCTCTTGTCTCTCTCTCTTGTCTCTCTCTCTTGTTTCTCTCTCTTGTCTCTCTCTCTTGTCTCTATTTGCCTACTCTCTCTCTCTCTCTGGTCTCCCTATCTCTGCTCTCTCTCTGCAGTGACTCAGAGCAGCACCAAGACTTCAGCCACATTCATGTTTCCAAACAGGTGTGCCACTCACCACACTGAGCTTAATATTCAGAATAACTGTCCGGAGTAGGTCACTGTAACTCGAGGCCCATTCTTTCCAACGCCTTTTCTGCGCTCATGCGTCCCATCAAAACAACAGACTCCCCTGCCCCACATATGGACAAGCTCTAAACTAATCATTCCAAAACAATCAACAACGTGTACCGTTTGCAAATACTTTCTTTTTAAACGGATTAAAACTTTACAGCAGTAACATTCTGAATGAGAAACCAACAAATCTGGAACCAAAAAGCTTTCAAATAGTTGTATAAAGACACTTCTCATCTAAAGCTCCAAACATAGATCTATAGATGAATAGAAAGTGGAATTGATCATCATTCATAGCAGACACTAGTGGTGTGATAAAAGCACAAATGGTTATTTTTGCGATAGAAAATGTTATGATAACAGGCCTAAACAATCTAGAAATTAGAAGTACTCTTACATCACATTCTGTGAAAATCTGGATCCCCCAACTTAAAACTCAAATAATTTGTTCCGTATTTGGTGCTTATAGGAGGCATCATCAGTATAGAAGCAGAGTTGAAAACACAATGTTCAAGAAGTATGTAGTGGTTTTTTCCTGCTGACATTTTTAACATTTGAGACGGTGGGATATGCTCAAACGCACTTATTCAAAACTGCCTAGACATAACTGTGTATTTGTCTTTTTGTAAATTGTCTTTGAGTGTCCAAAAAAAACAGTATATAAGTACGATGTATGTTATTAGTCATTACATTTGGGGGGAATCATAACAGGAAACGGTACAATAATCAGCAATAAAAGTTTGACAATGTTCAGGTCCAGGTTGTGACTGTTTTAACGCATTTCTAAATTTTACTTTGATTCTTATTTAGCATTTGAACGTGGGTTTGTATTTTTTGTGTATTTCATTATGTGATTTTTCAATGCATTTTTGTAATGCTTGAATGCATGCTTAAACACTTAGGATTACCTGGAATTGAACTATACATGTACTTTTTGATTTATTTTGTTTTCATATATAAACATTTTATTTGTCCGAACCGAAAGTCTTTTTTTGCATTAACGCTTTTTCATACGTGTAATAAAGTGCCCTGGGAGTCACAATTTGGTATTTTGGGCTGATAACTGATTGGCTGAGTGAATGAGAGTGATCCGATCTTTTTTCACTTTTCTGTCTGAAAAAGTTGATCTAAAGATGTGGCCATAACATAGATGTATCTGAAATCCAATGACAGAACCAAACTGTATCGATAAAATATGACATGGGTTTTAATTCCATATAATATTACTTTTGGTTTGTTGAAAGATACAAACCCCAGCTTTAACATTTGCCGGGGAGCACCCTAGTTCGGTCACACGTTT